ATTCTAGTCCATGATTTGGCTTGATTGAAATTATTAGTAATCATCTACAATCTTGCCAGTCCTACAGACTTCTCTGATAAATGGTCGGTTTGGTTTTTACTTTCGACGATTTGGCAACTTAACGTTAACATAATAAGTAGGTACTGATTTTAGAGGCTTATTATGTAAATGTTTCTATAAAGCCTGACATCAAACCTATTATTGTATTTACACTTCAAACTAGGTTTATGTTAAAACTTTCAAGTAAATGTGCAGGTTGTCCTATCTTACCAGTAACTAATCTTTGAGATAAGACAAAAAAATATGATGTGCCCAACACATACATGACTTTCCTATAAAGTTATTAAACATATTTTGAGTACGGTCCATCTAATCAAAAACTGTTTAGAATATGAATTAAAAGATATTTTCATTGCCAATGAAAATACTTAAAAATTCAAATTTAGCAATTTTTTCATATTTATTTATTTATTACAGTATATTTTAGATAAACTATATAACGAAAAAATTATAGAAAATGGCATCACAAACAACTTTTATTGAAAGAATTTTTATCTATAATCATAAATAACAGAAGTATACCTTAATGTAGAAAAATTACCACTATAAAGTATCTCCAATGCTCAGACTATGCTCAAAATCTAGTCAGCTCTCCACAAAATGGATTAAATCCTAAGTTCTCTTTATCTACTTTTGAGTTATTGTGGATAAAGACACACAGACATCATTGCAAAAATGGGAAAAACTGATTCAAGGGACCCCAAAAACAAAAATCAATCGAAAACTCGAGGTCGAAAAAAAATCACAATTCTTATACTTTTTTTACTTAATACAGGAAAGTAAAAATGTAGCTACATTCTTTAAAAATAACAAATTATTGTTTATCATAAACCATTTTTTTTCAGTTGAATTTTTCTAAAAAAAAATCTCGAAAAGGTATATAATAGGTAGATATTAAATTAAAATTAGTCCAGAACAATACTAGTACAATAAAGATAAAACAAAGAATATTTTGTATTATGGGCTCATGGAATCTATTAATAATTAAAAAGGGGAACTTTACATTAAAATACAAAAAAACTGCAAACTTGTAATGAAAAAATAGATTTATAAAATATAGAACTAAATTAAGAAGACTTTTATTAAAGAAGCAAAGAAAAATACTTTCAAAATAAAAATACCTCTAAATCTTGCATAAACAAAGAAAAAATACTTATGGTAAAAATATTGTTAATTTATGTAACACTTTTTTTTACAAATGTTGGTGATCATGTGCATTCAGAAATCTTATATCCTGAGTTCATGTCCATGCATGCAAAACATTCCTTGTTCTTTAGCCCGTTCGATCCATATTTTAATTGAGATGAGTAAAAAGTTCGAAATTTTACTAATGGAAAGCCTGATATTTGTTGCAATGTTTTGTATATAAATTGTAGAAGGTAATTTACAATTTACCTCCGTTTAAGGTTTGGCAATTTCTACTTGCAATCCTCGTTATTGTAAACACATTTTACAAATAAATCAAGATATTATGTAAAATTCTGCAACAAACTACATCAGCACATAAACGGTAATTGAATAGTAAGGTTATCTATCTTCTATATATATAAAATTGTTTGTCCTGACTGACCTATCAGCGTACAGCCAAAACTACTAGGCCTAGAAAGCTGAAATTTGGAACATAGGTTTATTTTATAACGTAAGCATCCGCTAAGAAAGGATTTTTGGAAATTTTAACTTTAAAGGGGGGAAATGGGGGAATGGAGCTTTTAATGAAACTCTTTGTTCTTTAAAGTTAGAAACATGAAAATTTAAATTACAGCTGCTGAGCAAAAATAAATAATGACGTGTTTCAGGGTTTTTGGATTTTTTTACATTTTAAGGGGGGAAAGCGGGGGGTGAAAGTTTGTAAGGGACTATCGATTTTTTTGTTCTCTATGAAGTTAGAAACAATGAAAATTGGAATTGCAGCTACTGACTACAAATTATTAATTACGTGTTTCAGGGTTTTGAATTTTCGCAGTTTAAGGGGGGGAAATGGGGGGTGAAAATTTATTTGGGAGTATCCATGTTTTTGGTTTTCTTTAAAGTTAAAAACATGAAAATTGGAATTGCAGCTACTGAGTACAAATTAATAATAATGTGTTTTAGGGTTTTTATATTTTTACATTTTGAGGGGGGGCAAACGGGGGTAAAAGTTTGTATAAGAGTATAACTTTTTTGTTCTCTTTGAAGTTAGAAACATGAAAATTGGAATTGCAGCTAATGAGTACAAATTAATAATAACGTGTTTTAGGGTTTTTGGATTTTCAAATTTTAAGGGGGGAAACGGGGGGTGAAGTTTATTTGGAAACATCGATTTTTTTAAAGGTAGGAACTTGAAAATTGGAATTGTAGGTTCTCATCATAAATAAATAATAAAGTGTTTCATGGTTTTTGGATTTTCACATTTTAAGGGGGGAAAACGGGGGTGAAAATTAATAAAAAATTAATAAAAATTATTAAAATTAATAAAAATAACAATCAATAAAAATTAATAAAAAATAATAAAAATTAATCAAAATTAATCAAAATTAATCAAAATTAATAAAAATTAATAAAAATTAAAAAAATTAATAAAAATTATTAAAAATAATAAAAATTAATAAAAATTAATAAAAATTAATCAAAATTAATAAAAATAATTAAAAATTAATTAAAATTAATAAAAATTGATAAAAATTAATAAAAATTGATAAAAATTGATAAAAATTGATAAAAATTGATAAAAATTGTTAAAAATTGATAAAAATTAATTAAAATTAATAAAAATCAATAAAAAGCAATAGAAATTAATAAAAATTAAAAAATGTATTTTTTTTATATTAATAACACGACTATATGCGAGCAAAGCCGCGGGCAATAGCTAGTGTATTATATGTATCGAGAAGTAAACAAACCATGACGTCATGAGTGACGTTTTACGTGTTTCAGGATCGCTTCACTCGCGGCAGGTTAACGTATGACTAGTCACGGCCTTTCCCATTCTGCTAATGATGCATCAATAAGCTGTGCGACATTTCCTGCATTGTTTCAAAAGAAGTGTTATTAGATTCTTTAGAGCTGGTCCCACAAGTGTTCGAAAGGATTTAGGTCTGGTGAACATGCAAGCCAGTCTAAAACTGTGACACCTTTCAGTTTATTGAAGTGGTAACAATGGAGTTTTTGCTCCCAGCATAATAACTCTCCAGAACATTACAGTTCCTCCTTGATATCTTGGGACAGATCTGGCAGCGTGGGGTCTCGTTCATCTTCCTGGGGCTCTGAGAACCTTAATTCGATGGTCTCATCCGAAAAAACATTTTTGCCGGTCAATTTTATTTTAGATAACGGTGGGACCCGTAACTTTCTCCTACTGTACAACCCTCGAACGCGAAGTCTTTTTCTTAGGGTTTCAATTGAAACGTTCACACCTGTAGCTTTCCGAAGTTGTCGTTGCGTAGCTCTGGATGAGAAACACTAGGATTTCTTCTAGCAATTTGGCACAAAGCGGTCCTGTTTTTTAGTTGCGACTCTTTGACGACTTTGTCTGGGCCTGTTCTTGAGAGTTTCTAGTTCCAAGTACCTTTGATATGTTTTTGATACAACACCCTGGGTTACTACCTCTGCTTTGTCTCATTGTGACATTCCTTGTTCAATGAGAGCAATAATTCTTCCCCTCTACACATCTATTAGTCCAACGTAAGGCATTTTGTTGTTTTTTTTTTGGACCGAAATAAAATTACCAGGATCGTGATTTTACTTCTGAACACAAAATTCACAAGATAATAAATCGCAGCAGTCGTTTCTTCTTTATTATCATGTTTGTTTTGAACAAAAAGTCTTATCTTAAAGTTGGATACTTACCAATTTTTTCCTTACAAAAAGTTTATTTAGAAATACACAGTGATTCCATATAAGTTTGGTTGTGTGTATTTATATGGCGAAATAATAATGATATTATATTGCAAGTGCACCGTTTAGGCGTAATACCGCGAAATAATAAAATCAAATGTTTAGTGGATAAATGTCATGGCTCTTTTGTAATGACGCCATGTGCAAAATCGGTAGATGGTTTTCGTTGGAGATGCAAAAGATGCATAAACAAAAATAACTCCGATGTCTCCAGGTCATATAGGTTAGGTAAATGAATTATTTTTTTTTCTTATTTTATGTATAGTTTCTTACTAAACAATCCGCGATGGCTCCAGGCCGCACAGGTTAGGTAAATTAGTTAGTTTTTGTATAATTTTTATGAAATAACCTGTGATCTAAGACCTACAGATTAGGTAAATTAGTTGAGTTTTTTAATTTTTTTTCATTTCATGTATACTTTTTTGAAGAAACAACCCGCGATGAACCCTGGCCTCACAGGTTAGGTTAATTTTATGTATAATTTTTTTTTGTGAGGTAACCCTGATGTATCCAGGCTGTATAGGTTAGGTAAATTAATTAAGTTTTTTTTATTTAGCATATTCCATAACAAGAAATCAATCAAAATGCGATGTAAAAAACATATTTTAAGGGCAAAAAAAGTATTTCAGTTGGTCTTAAATGGTCTAAACTGGCCTAAAAAAAGCCCGTTCGACTAATGTCGAATTTTTCCTTTTTATATTTTCTGATGATTAAACTCAAATTTTTTGAAATAGTAATGTTTTATTTTGATATGGAAAAAAAATTGGGTGGAGGGAGTAAATTTAATAAGACCGTCGATATTTGTTTATTTTTATGTTTGTAAGGCTTGTTTGCTTTTGAAAAACATTTTTTTTAAAGGTGGATTCACTCTAAACTTTTCATCGGTTCAACTTTAGGAACATCTGATTTAATAGCAGTTGAGTTGTAGTTCTTAATATGGTCTATTTGTACCAACTGAAATTATTTATTTTTAATCTTTACTCCTCTAAAAGCAAAGCCTACATTTTTATTAACTGTTGTCCAATCTTAATGTCAATAATAATTTTCAGTTTTTAATTGATTTTAAGGATACTACTTAGAAGCACTACTTATGTTTGGTTTGTTTTGTAAACAGCCCCTAAATGCAAAGCTGAGAGGAGTCACATCAAATAACATTGACCCTTCCATTGATTTAATCAAAACATCCATGGTACATACATTAAAAAAGTTTATTTTGGATGATGAAGGTTTAGATCTAAAGATTTCAAAAAGAGGCATGCTTCCTCTTGGTGGAGGAGAAGTAATTTTCAAATGTCCGGTGAGAAAACAAACCAGACCTGTTCAATTACTAAAAAGTGGAATGGTTAAAAGAATCAGAGGCACTGCATATGCTTTAAGAGTTTCTCCAGCCATAGCAAACAGAATGGTAGATAAAGCAAAAGGTGTTCTCTTGAATTTTATTCCAGACGTTTACATAAATACTGACCAATGTAGAGGCAAACAGTCAGGGAACAGCCCTGGTTTTGGGATTCATCTTGTGGCTGAAACTACTGATAATGTTTATTATTCAGCAGAGCAGGTACATCATTTTTGGAATACAAATAAATTAGACACTTTTTAAATGACTCGTTTTTCAATAAATAAAATGTATAATCATTCTATAAGTTGATAACTTTTTATTATATAAATAAAAATTTCCTTGGTTTATTCGGTCGTTTTTATTTTCAATTGTTTAGCACTGCACTACATATGTTTCGGAAAACTTCCTAGAAACAAAAAGATGAGGTTTTGTATTTTAAAAAAATTTTAATTTGTAATCGTCCCCATGTTTTTTTTTTTAATTTTTACTGCACCCGAAGATGGAAAAGTTTTCCTAAACATGTAGTGCTGTGCTAAACAATAGAAAATAAAAACGACCGAATAAACCAAGGAAATTTTTATACATAAAAAATTCTGCTACAGTCAAGAAAATTATTCTTATTCAAATTCTTTATTAGGTATCGAATGTTGTATCCAATGGGGAGGACCCTTCAATTCCAGAAGATTTAGGAACAGCTGCAGCACAAAGACTTCTATATGAAATATACCTTGGGGGTGTAGTAGATTCCTCATCACAGTCCTTGGCTATCTTATACATGGCTTTAGGAGATAAAGATGTATCAAAACTTATAACTGGTCCATTATCTGAATATTCCATCTGGTTTTTAAGGCATTTAAAAGACTTTTTTGGAGTTTCATTTAAATTAGAACCATATGACGATGAAGAACATGATAATAAAAGTGGTTCTTCAAAAGTATTATTAACTAGTGTAGGAATTGGTTATACTAATATAAGTAAAAGGACAATTTAAATGTAATGTATATAAATAAATATTTTACCTTTAGAAAATCAATTTTGAATATTGTGTCTTAATTTCATATACTCATTTACCGCTATTAGAAATCAGTTTGTCATTTTTTTTTATTTCGTTTAAAAATATTAAAAATACAAACACTATAAATATCTTCATTTCAGACTATTTTAATAAACGCAAATGCAACATATTGTATTTTGAAATATTTTGACCATAGAGCTAGGATATAATATATAGAGGGAGCATGAGAGAGACAGACTTATATGTATTCAATGTTAAGGGATGTTGCAAACATATCATGGAATTTCAGGTTGTTCGTTTTGATATGAACTCGGTTCATGAACGTAGAAAATGTCCAGTGGCGTAGTTTCATTGGGAAAACAAAAAGCAATAACTGGTTATTTGTATTAAAATGAAATGTCAGATTGTTTAAATGGACGAGGTCTTAAAGTGGTTTCCACATGTGTATTTAGTATTGTTATCAAGTAAATGTAACTCTTTCAATCAGACAAATCACGCTTATCTCTTGGAATGCTACAAAAGTTTACACTTTTATTAATAAAACCAGATTCTAAAAATCTTATTTTTTTAACAAACACATGGGTCCTATGATTTAACGTTTATGTTATCCGTAACGTACATGTTAGGTCGAGTTTTAACAGAAACGAGGCAAGTTCGTATGATGGAAAACTGTTAAATTATAACATAACAGGCGGAAAATAACAGTAATGTGTTGGAAAAAGTTTTCCATCATACGAACTTGCCTCGTTACTGTTAAAACTGGGCCTAACACGGATAACGTAAACGTTCAATCATAGGACCCAATTTATTATAATTTGATTGTTTATACCTACAACAGGTGAAATGAAATTCCTTTGCCTTTTCGAAATTGTTTATGGCAGACTGTACAGGATTTCATAATCACAAACAGTTAATGTAAAGAATATAAATGTATTCTACAAACTACATAAATGTATTCTATAAACTATAACTCATTAACTAAGGGCCGATTCCACCGTTGTGTTAAACGAAGATTAATCTGACATTGTGTAAAAATGTCATTTTAATCTTCGTTTAACACGATGGTGGAATCAGCCCTAAACAATATAACGTTTATTTTATTCACAGCTAAAAACAAAACAAACACTCTTCTGGAAAACAACAGAAACAAATCAACTGAATACTCTGAAGTACAGAAGCCCATCATAAATCATAATATGACTAATATGCTTGTTTTTAGTTTTAGTTATTTCACAAACCATCTCAATTTATTTGGATGAAAACATCATAAACAATTATTACAAATCAAGTTTAGTTCAGAATGACTGAATTTCACTGGATCAGCTATTAGATTGTTATAAAATCTCGACGTGTTCTTGCAAAAATTATTCATCAACTGTATTTGATAATTGGATTTGACGGTTTTGTTTTGTTTGAATGGCTGATTTTGAACCCAACTTTGCTGAATTTAGTAAAGTACTACAAATGCCTAAGAACAATCAAATTTTAGAAATTTACACCTAAAGTATTTTTATGAAATATAAGTACTCCATTAATTATTTTATAAAGCGCTTATCATAAAATAGTAGTGTTTAAAACAAAAATAAATTATTTTAATAAACATACCCAGACAGCACACCAAATCCTTTGGATATCTACTGAACATCCCAATATCCACTGAATGTCCAGTCCATGGTGGATATCTATTTTATATCCATGAGATGTAATTTATAGACATGCAAATGCCCATAAATAATAGTAATTATATAGCAAATTATTAAAAAATTACGCCATTGTGGCTAATAGTACCGTTCAGATATTTAAAATTAATTTTTTTAAAGTGTATTCAATATCCCATGGACATCCACTAAATATATCAAAGTCTAGGCGCGAACGCAAACCATGGTGGATATCCACTAGATGTAATTTTTGATTTTGCCCACTAAGAAGAAAGTCATTCTTGGACCGGTTTCGTTCTTATTAGGACTAGAATTATTTCCCTTTTTAAGAATAGCCCGCCTGGTTTTTATTCCACCTAGTCTCTGAACTAGCTACTACAGCGACCTTTGATTTTGCTTACTAAGTATAGATGGCGATACCAATTTCGCTCGTTGAATATCTACTCATGCTCAACCCGCCGTAATTGAGTTCGATCGAAATTGGTATTGCAATCAGACTCCATTAGAGACTGGAGCCGAGAATTTCTATTTATTGCAGAAGAGTCCTAATAAAGACGAAAATGGTCCAAGAATAACTTTCTCCTTAGTGGGCAAAATCTTTGAGTATTATTTGATGTATTTTACATCTCAGTCACATTTGAGTTTGGAATTATTTCCTTTTTTATCTATAGGATATATCCATTGGTTACTTATGAACCTCTACTAAAGATCCCCATAAAATATTTTGCTGAATATCCATAGAATATCTTCTATATCCTGGATATAGACGGACATTTGGATATCCATATTAGATCCACTGGATATCTATATCTTGTGGATGTATTGGATATGCACAAAATATATTCTGTGGATATCTCTGGGATTTGGGGTGTTGTCTGGGTAGAAACTAGAGTACTAAAAAGTCTAAATATATACAACTTAAATTTGACAACATTGTTTACTGATGATTGTTGTTAGTCCTGATGTAAACATAAAGATTTCGTCGTATTGGTGGTAAAAAGAGTTAAGGACCGATTCCACCGTGTGTTAAACGAAGTTTAACACAACGTTGGAATCGGCCCTAAGCCACACACTTATTAATTGGAAAAAATGGGTAAAAAGTTTGTAACTATTAGGTTAAAACAACTTTTGATTTAAATCTCAAGTTATGTATGTACTAAATATGATAAAATTTGGTACAAACGAAAACACGTCCTTCATTTTAAGACAGATTTAAAAACGAAAGAAAAAGAAATGTATGTGGCTTAAAAATGTTTTACCACTGAGATAGATATATATGTACGTATTGTCACCTAGCTTCTTTCAGTTTGTGGGATTTTAAGGTTATATAAGTACAAAATCGCTTAACGTGTGTCTTTTTCCACCGGTTTGTTGGAATCGTTTTTTCGCCGATGCGGCCTTGAACGCCTTTTGTTGGATTCGATTTATTTATGGTTGACCGTTGAAATAAATAACAGTTGACATTTTGGATTAAAATTTGTGTTTATAATTTTATTCAAATGTACCTATTTAATGTGTACGCATATATTTTTAAAATCTCATTCTTTGGTGGTTTTCCCACAAAAACAAATAATTAATAAACTCCTTAATTCTGATTAATTCCCGCAATCCATAGCTGTCAGTTGTCACATCTAATCGGAAAACCCGTACATTGAAATGATGGAATGGTATTGCATCGCTTGCATCAACGTTGGATAAAAAGACAGCGCTGTTAGTTCATCATTGATTAAATAAAATACAGGTAGATACCTCACCGATGCCAAACAGTGTTCTGTGGCCAAACGTTGCTGCAACAGTTGGATAAAAAGACACACGTTTATCTCTCTTCACCACTCTATTTTTTAGTTGTTTTATGTGATATAATTAACTCATTTTGTCTAAAAATTTAGCTTAGCTCTTTTCACCACCAATACGACGATTTACGTTTTATGTGTTAAAACTTATCTCTCTGATGCTACCTCTATAGAGCCTAGTTTTCTGATTTTGGGGTTTACACTATTAACTTTCATACAATAAACTGACGTTGACAATAGCAAATGGATAAATCACTATCATATGGCATTGATAAATAGATAATACATAAAATGTAGGTTTAACAGCTTAATAACAATGAATACACCACACATAGACAGAACGAAATAAATCGCTGTATTATTACTTTGATTGGTATATGTTAGACCATTCACTAAATAGTTTAGTCGAAACTGTAATTTACCAAATACACAAAAAACGAATCCTTACATCAGCAAATCGAAGTACAAGACCAGGCACCTGTTTGTGTCACAAATATTTAACAATCGGTTTAAAACAGTTAATATCAGGTTGGTTTAATAATAGTTTATTTTAGATTAAAATATAATATACGGGTCACCCTTGAGGTTTGATATAAATTAATCAGCAGCTCGGTCTAGTCAATGGCCAGACGTTGTTTCATATATCATACAAATAATCTTCCTCTATTTAATATTAAATCGCAAACCATTCAGTCACTGATATTAAATAGTGGAAGATTATTTGCATGATCTGTGAAGCAACATCTGACCATTGACTAGACCGAGCAGCTGATTAATTATGTTGGTAGTTTTTTCTTGGTAGGCGTCTTAAAGTAGCCCAACTTTTCACTTAACACATCCTTTGCATACTAAATCGCCCTGAAACCACTTCTTAGCCGCAATCTTACTGGAAAAAGGTGGCTTATTTGCTAGTTCCCTTTTTTTGAATAATTACCTTTGATTTATCACATCGTCTAATGCTGGCTTTGAAATTTTGTAGATCTGCTTACTTTCTGGATGAATGCTTTATAAATCATTTTCTCTACACATGAAGTGCTTTGTTTACATTCATTTAAATAACAAAGTATAATAGAGGTGATTTCTTTATTATAACTTGTAAAATGTAGTAAACCTGCACAACTGCATTCTTTTAATTCCTCCACTTGTGAACTCATGTTTCTTGGCGGGTTATTGTCATATGACGCAATAATGCCAACAGGAAAAAATGCGATTTCTTTGCAAGTGGGCACCAAACATAATCCAATCGCATGTATTTTTCTTAGATTTTACGTTGTAAAATAATAGGGTAGCGTAATGAATGGCTCGTATCTGGGCCTTCTGGTCCAGCAGCGTACTCTGTAAAGATAAACATGTCTCGTTTTTTAACACTTACTAAAAATTTTATTACCAAATAACACTATTCACTTCCATATTGTAACATAAATTGAAGGGGCGCCAAATTTGTGGTTCCCACCTTATCGGGACTAAAACCCCTGCAAGCAAACTCGTAAACATTAACGATTTGATTTTGAATGAAAGACGTTGA